ATTTTTAATTTGGTGAACCTCTGTGTTGTTGGATGTGACGGTGTTTCAATTCACAGTAGTTTTGAAGTAGTAGCTATTAATGTGTCCAGGTGCGGGGTGACAAAAGTCCTCTCTACAGAAAGGGGATCTGCAGACAAGGTTTTGGAAACACTTCTCCTACTTACAAAATGATTTGAAAACAGCAATGAGTTGAACCTAAATTAATGGTGCTGCTTGATTACCATTAAATACTGTTTATTAAATGTTTATTTAAACAATTGGCGATTTAGATGAAAATCCGACACAGAAATGACTTTAAAGATTAACTTAAGCTTTCTGTAGCATGTACCATTAGTCATATTTTCCGCGCTTATTTTCTTCATAAATAATTTAGTAACTTTGGGCAAACTGTAGCTATTCATTTACAGTCTGCAGTCTTTTTCTTTCTGTAGAGTGATGTGATGTTGCAAAACAAAAAAGGAAAGAAAGATGAAGACTTTTAAAAATACATCTTGGAGTCAGTTTGTTTGTCTGCCTATTTGCTAGTTCAGAGAAATGCATTCTTCAAAGACGGAGTGGATGTGCCTTCATTATACGTGATGGCACTGCTGGGACAACTGTGTGCCACCTGCTTGTTATTTACGGCATGGAAACCAAGCCAGGGACTGACAAGAACAATTAGACTGTGTTGAACTTGTTGCTGTCTCCTTCATGTTTGTATTTATGTCGCTGATGTTCCGAGAAAGAACAAAAAAACAAAACAAACGAAACGTGGCAAACCAGTTATTGTAAAAACACAAAGAACAGTAATTCCTCTTTTGTGGTGTTGTAATCTGTAATTTGTGATGCTTCGCTGTTAATTCACTATTTGGAATTTGGAAACATTTGCTTTGCAGTTGGAATTGGTGTGAAAACCAAACAAAGCGAACGCTTTTATTTTTTTATTTACAATTTCAATATAGGCTTTAAGTTGTTGGTAGAAAATAAAAATCTAAACTCATGTAGCAGGCAGTTTCACTGGTGCTGCTTCAAATGATGAATTAGTTTTTGCGGTCACCCAGAGAATAATTCAAGCCTTGCCTCCGTGACCTGAGGGCCAGTTTCTAGATTTTATGAAGCAACCGTGTAACTTGTTGGGTCTAATGTTCCACAGTGGCTGTAAACTCATTGTGGTCTGTGTGAGGCGTTCGGCTTAAGCGCTGTTTGCTGGCTGTGTATATAAGTGTGCTCCTGTAATTACGTTGGCGGTGGGGTTGGTGAGGTATGATTTATTACCGAGGGTCAGGCACTGACAGGGCCTGGCCTCCCTGCATCGGGTCGCCTTTAACAACAAACCAGTCTCCATACGCCTCGCTCACTTAGCAGACACACTGTCCTTCTACAGTCCAAACTCACAGAGCCGGATTGCCTCCACCTCTGGCTTACGGCTTGATAAATGGCTCATTGGAAAGCAGCAACAATACCACCCAGACATGCAAGGATATTTTTTGATCACAGTCGATTGTTTCTGTTAGGGAAGGGCAGGTTAGCGGGTACGATTCTGCTAGCGCATACTAAACGGCCTTGTGTGTGAGAAGCTGTTATACCAGCGTTATGGAGCTACTTTTCTCTTCACACCGTCTCATTGTGGTAGTTCATGGGAGATGGGGGGAACAATGTGTTATAGGTTGATTTATTTTACACTCATAATCCCTTTATTTTATTCCCCGCACAGCTCTGCTGCTAAAGACACATCACCGATGCCCGCGTTGGACGTCAGCAGCCTGTCGACACCACGCAAGCTGTTGGATTCATCACAGTTCAGCACACCAGGTTCCGGCAGTGGTACGGGTTTTTATACCATATTAGTTATATATTAGTTAAGAATATATAAGACACTAATGGTCATATATATATATATGTATATACACGTATATATGTATATACACCAAATAACACTTAAATACTCACCAAATACTTGGTTGGTGGGCTGACTACCTTTTGTCAGTTGAAAATAACTTCAGCATCAGAACAAAAATCCAAGGTTAAAAATGACAACAGAGATGTTTTTGTGGCCTCGGCGGAAAAGAAAGTGTGTGAATTTCAGTTCGCATTTTTTATTTTCACTCTGCTGATAATCTGAGTTATAATGAATGTCATTAGCATCACTCTGTCTTACATCCATTTGCATGTCATTATAGGTGTACAGCCCTCTCTCCCTCTCTCTCTCACACACACACACATAGGTACGATAGACACTCTACAGGCTAAACACACACTGCCGCTTCATTACACTTCAACACAAACACACACATGACTTTGAACACCATCAGTCATCCCCTTTTCGTGCCTGGCGGAATATGCGACAACATCCACGTCTGTGATCATGGTATACATTTCCTTCGCTAAAATTATAATCATCCTGCCCCCCCCACCCCCCACCCCCACACACGGCCCTCCCTCTGTCTGTGCCATTAGTCAGCCAGCATCTGTGTCATCCCAGCAGGAGGGAAAAGCACTCATTACACTCAAACTGGTAACCGGGGCTTCTCACGGGGGCTGCTAATGCAGCCCATAACTGTGGGAATGTAAGAGTTCTCTCAGTTCTTCCTCAGCGCTGCGCTGCATTCCTTCCAGGCAGAGCGCAGAGGAACGCAAACAAGAAGATAATGAAAAAAGTTAATCCTGCAATAACTTGGTGTTCCCTCAGTGTTCCTGGAGTGTTTATATTAAGCCCGTACTTTCTTTTCACCACCCAATCTTGGCATTCTGAATTAGCAACTCAATATGTCGTGTTTAGCTCAGTAGAACCCAGGCAGCCCTGCACCATACTGTACCTACAGTACAGTCAGCCACACCTACAGACACAGCTGATTAACTTATACCTGGATCATTTCCTTGGTAATTAATGCCAGTCAGGTTGGATTTTAATAGTAGAACCTTTTGTCTGCATGTCTTATTCTCTTGGTATTTAAAGTTCATCTGATCGGTTCTGGTTAGATGGAAATTTGAATCCACCTGTAGGTGCAAACGGCCACGATTTGTCTTTGTCTTTTGGCTGTGTGATGAATTGACCAGCTGTTCCGGCAGCAACCTGAGGCTTTCTTCTTTTAAAGTATAAGCTGTTGAGATGATAGATGGATACTGCAACACTATGAGTGCGATAGTAATACAGTTACAATTTATATGTAGGACTAGCTGCTGGAAACAAAAGTTTATTTTTCTTCAGGGTGTAATGTACCCACCAATCAAATGCTGTAAAATGTCTGTTCTGTTAAGTTGTTTTCACTGTGGCTTCTCCATCTCTTCAGCTTCACCATTTCACTTATGTTATTTACCCATTTCAGTACAACAGCTCCACATCTGCTGTGATCTGAGACTCACACACACAACCACACACACACGGCTGTAAAAAAACAACAACAATGATGGGTAATTAATACCCCTTCAAATCGCCCACCGTCCAATTTCAAAAGTAAAAGCTAAACCGCATTCTGCAGAACTGCGGCAATTAGCCGCTGCCAGACTGTAAGTGCCAATCCTCCGTTGTGCTAACAAACGCGGTCACGACACAGCAGCCCGGTTCCATCTCTCGCTTAGCTTGCCATTTTGTCTAATAGCATTAAAGCACCTCATTTGTAGCTGGTAATTGTCATAATTATTGCACAAACTATAGTCAGAATGGGGTAAAGACGAAGTACACCCAAAGTCCATTAACTTGCCATAAACATTAACTCTTTTTACGCTCTTTGATGGGGAATCTGGATGCTCCATCTAATGGAAATTAGCGCCTCACTCCACGCTGCCACTCTCAATTTAGCTGCTAATGTGGCTAGGTCATATGGCGAAGACATGAGGCGGGGGTGTGAATGTGTGAGTTGGGAGAGTGGTGGGACTGTAGGTGAGAATATCTAAAGTAGAAAGATGTTTTGTTTAGTCATGCATTGTCAAAGGGTTTGTAGTCTTTGTGTGCTCTGGAGCTAACATAAGGACTAATGCTAATGTGAAAGAGTGCTTTTATAAAAAACAAACAAACAGCAGACAACTGTCCGATGATGCTAAGCCAGATATGCTTTGTGGATGTAACTAACTAAAGACCACAAATCACCTGTGCTAATTTTGAAAAACATTATTTTAGTCTCAGTCTTTTGCTTTTATATATTAGCTTTTAATATTATTTTTATGTTATATATACAGTTGTACATGCAATTGTTTTTCTCTGTCTCTAGCACGTGACGACGTGCGAGATGCGAACCAAACTGATCTGCCAGAGGTGGATCCAGAGGAGAACAGTGCAGAGTTCATGGGGATCCTCATCAAGGTACATTCTGTACTTCACCGAGCGCAGCATCCTTGAAAACACGACCCTCATTTAACAGCCACCTTTTCTACTTTTCTTTCATTTCGGTGTGTCTGATGTTTGTCTTCTGTCTCGTTTTTTTTTTTTTTTCAGGCTCTAGCCAAACTAAAGAAAATCCCAGAGACCATCAAAGCCATAATGGAGCGACTGGAACCTGAGCTGAAGCAGATCGTTAAGAGGTCCACCACTCAGATAGCAGACCACGCTTATCAGAGAGGAGAGAATTTGGCCCAGGAGAGCCAGTCAAGGTAAAATATTCTGATAGTACGGACCAGGGAAAGCAGTACATTAAAATATCATGGCTTCCTGCGAGTTAGGAACAATCCCCTCAAGACTGAACTACTATAGATCAGTAAAATGAATGGTGAAAACAGAATAGTAAATGAATAGAAAATGAGGATGGGAACGGGGATACGGCAAATGGATGGTCTAAAGAGGATACTGTATGCAATTCAGTGGACAGATGAAAGCCATCTATTTTCAAATGATAACATTTGCCTGACAGAAGATAATAAGAAGCACAAGCAATGTTTCCAAAAAAAATGATCAGGGTAAACAGCAGTACACAGCCACTGTTGTTACCACTTATTAAAGCTGTCATTTGTAATCCCAGCAGTATTATATCTATGCAAAAGAGCTTTATTAAAGCGGCTTACTCGCAAGCCTATTCTTCTTCTCTTGTATTAGTCCCGTCAGTTCCTGCCAGTGGTTATATGAAGGTGGTTACTCTTTCAACCGTCAGTTAGGATCTATGTGTTTGCTGCACATTACTGATTAAACTGCCTTTTCCTGCCTTGGTTCCTTTAATGTGTGGTTTGAATTACCATTTGTACTTCCTGGTAAAAAAAAAATTAAATTTGATGATTTAAACCAAGCTTAAGAATTCCATGAAAATTTAAAAAGAAGTAATTCTGTGATCCCTAAGTTAGTACCTGTAGCATAACTCAACTTTAGCTTTATTTTGAGGTTAGCTAGGAATCAAATGTGCACTGTCAAGCTGTGAGACTATGAGACCACAGTGTCTAACAGTGTGTATTTTAAGGCTTATAATTGTAACATAATGTGAACTGTGCAGTTTTCCACCATAGATTTTGTTACTCATTGTTGATGCCTCTGTGGCATCGGGCTCAGTGTTTGAGCAATCACCCAGTCAAAAAGCAGTAGGTCTGCTCCACACAGGAAAGCTCAGAAGCCTACCTGAATAGATGTGATCTTAAGTCATTTAAAAGTTAGCATCTCTGGGCTAATAAAACTATTAAAGATTATTCAAAATTGTGCTAACTGCCGAAACATTTAAGGATTTTAAAGGTGTGTGTTGGTCAATAACATTAGTAACTTTAACAAATATGGAACCATGGCAAGGAGTTAAAGTGCCATATGTTTTGTTCAAAAGTATAGTACAACAGACATTAATTTCAAGAATGATCAATGCCTCTGCGCCTGTGCAAGAGGAGCCTAAAGGAAACAGTATTACTCAGTGAATTATTACCAGGGTGTTACCAAGAGAATTACTGAATTAAACTGTCAGAATGATGAGTGACTGTCTGAATGACAAGTCCGAAAGCATCTTTTAAATATATTCATAACGAAAAGAGTCAAGGCTAGGTCAGAGAGGAACCGTCCAAAACCACGAGAAAAGGATACCCTGCTGCTTTAAACACACCGATACTTACCCAAAACAATTCCACACCTGCCTCCAAGGCCTGTGCTGCGTTGTAAAAGCAGTCACGTCAGCCGCTGCAGACATGCACATACAGTGGCCAGACTCGGGAAGCACAGGTCTCACGCCACTGATCCTGAACCATTTAAGGGGAACGTCTTGTTTTCTGTCAGGGATGTTCTCCCTGGCCTTGTCTCCTCCGTCTCTGCTCCCGTTGCCTGCTGAATCTCATCTGACCCCAACGTAATAGGCCACTGTGTAGCTCATTCCCAGCTCCACTCCCTACAGATTGTTTTAAGTTTGCCGGTGTGTGTGTGTGTGTGTGTGTGTAGGAGTATGTGCGTGCGTGTGGCTGCTCTGAGCTCAGTATGTGTGTCAGGCCATGCTAAATTGCATTTAGGTCAACACTCAGATGTGCATGTGTTTGTATTCGAGTGCATACACACCTATTTGCGCCTATGTTCACTTCAATTTAAAGTCTGGGCTTGTTGCTATGGAAACTCCATCCAATGTACCTCTTGTAGGTAACAATGGCCCTGCATTATTACAAACCACATTTTATGTGACTGCAGTCTAGCAGCTACTGTTTAAGCACTTTACAGAACATACAGTGCTCCGGAGGTTTATGTTCCCATTCACATACGTACAGCGTGATCTCACACACTTAAAGTACATTTTCATTTCCACCTCCATTCACCAGATCCTTCGTAAAGAGACCCTACACAGTGGTGTCAAAGTTATTAGAATGCATCACTCATCTGTGGGTATTTACATTTGAATTTGCATCAAATCTGACCTGCTGAATATTATCCATTTTCACTTACTATTTCAAATACAGAAACCTTTTTTTGTTTTTCTCGTGTTGTTGTTCTTAGAGTATTGGAATAGTCTAAATCGACCTGAAAAGAGAACTGACAATGCAATTGAATGGCCAGAGTGCATTAAAATAGCAAGCACAGTCTTTTAAATCCAATTTAAAAAGAAAAAAAAAAAGAAAAGGAAAACCTAATTGATCAGAGAGCAATCACTCGTCTCCCTGTTCAATAAAATGCTCAGTGGAAATGGTTGGGGGTCAGACTTGTGTAATTGCGTATCCAAGCTGTACATCTGTCGGTGTATATCAGCAACATTGCACATCATTCAGTCCACTAGGCGAGTAGACGAGGAATCTTTCAGTGTACAATCAGTATACTTTACTTTTGATTCAACCATTGTAGATGCTCCATCTGCACAATAACTTTAAAAAATAGTGGTTGTGATGAAAAATAGAATCCTATTAGAAATAGGAGTAGAACCTGCAGTCATCTTCTCATCACAGAGCCACTGACTTTGATGCACTCAGTTTTGTTTTTATTTTTTAATTTGATGTTTTATTATTGCCTTCAAGATACGTTTCCTGAAAAGAAAATGTTTGCCACTAGCTAGAAAAACACAAAAGAAAATACAAGACAAGGGCGTCATGCCTGCAGAAAAACACACCACTTTTTACACTGTATAAACACCGTTTATAATAACGGCATTATCTCTGTCAACCAAACTCATCATCATCTCAGAACTGCTGTTGTTCTGCCAGTCTTTTAAACAGGAGAAGAGTGTACTGTATGTCCAAATGTAAGCCGCCTCCTGTCTCCTCTCCCTCCTGTTCATCAGACACGTGTGCGTCTGCTTCGATCTTGGAGAGGAAATGAGAAGTCAGGTCTGAGAGAACAGACAGTATGGATTAGGTCAGCCTCCGCTGAGAGATAATGAGAAGGACTTGGTTGCTTTACTTTTACATGTGTCTGTCTAGCCATAGGTGGTGGGTGTGTTTGAGAGACTGTGGATGTGGTTGGTTTAATTTTAACCATTTAACTTGACGAAACCCGACAAGGTCAGAGCGGTAAATTATGCGTGTCCATCTCTATCTCCTCTGTCTAATCCGTCCGTATATTGTTGGTTCATTTCTGAAGGCTGTTGTTCACGATGCGTCCTTCATGTTTAGTCATGAGTAGAGGAGGCAGGAACCGTCCGCTCACTCACCGCTCCTGTCCACGTCTCGTGATGTCACGTCTTCCGTTCACCACGTTATTGCTCATAGTGATTTGTTCCTGCTTTAAACTCCATTAATAACATTTATTTGCTGCATCTGCCAGTGTAGTGACAGACATCCAACCAAAGTGCCCCCCCGGTGAAACATCCATTCATCTTGGCTTTCACACTCTGCTCAAACCTTCCAAGCAAAACTTTTTCTCCCTCCCATATCTCGAAACGTGCCTCCTTGTGTTTGCATTAATGAGGATTAGACTCTGGAGTTTTGTGTGTGTGTGTGTAATATAAGGTAGGTTGTTTTCGGCAGTCGCAGCTTTTCTTTGAGGATATTGCAGCTTCTATTCTATTGTATTGTTTTAACAGTTTATATAACAAGAAAGTACAACAAAAGCAAAACAAAAAGTTTGTAAAACCCCTTCAAAACTTAGTATAAGTATATTCAAATCCCATAGAGAAGATACTGACATCAGTTGCAGTGCTGAGTAAAATAAGCTATGACATGAAAAGCAGCTTGTTGCAGTTATCGTGGCTACCTTTTGCTTATTGCAAAAAGTACCTCATTACTTGACAGAGGTCAAGTTTTCTCAACTTTATAAACAAATTTACCAGGATAACAGTTGAGTTTCGCTGACCACGGCTGCACAACCAGGATGAACCTCCTGAAAGCCCATTTATATTAACCCTAATTTCTCCACTAGAATAAAGTGGGCTCTTACTGCCATGGCACTGCACACACTCAGCCTCAACAAATGTTACCTATGTTACCTTTTTACTTTGAAAGCTCCGTCCTTGTAGAGAAAACAACGCCACCACCAAAATATGTATGAAAGCATTAGGGCAGATAATGCAACAGCGGGGTTTTCAATCCAGCGTGTCGCACTCCAGATAAGGCGGAACGTCAGTCCAGATCGGCTGCGCTCTTTTCTTCGGGCCGAGCCATTTAGGACTAATGAAGGTCGCTGCTTGTTCAGGTTCAGAAACTCTTGAGATTTTTTTTTTTTTGTGCAGCTGATGCATGTACTTCGTTCAGCCGTGATATTAGGTTGTAAAGACAGGTAAAATGGTTACGCAGGTTTGCTGAAAAGTCGATTTGAAAGAAGGAAGCTCTAATGGGATGAACACTAACAGAGCTCATCTTTTGTATATTCATTTTTTATTGTTTGTCATGGTGATGTAACCAGGGACAATACTTTTGGCTTGGGATCGCAGACAAATTGAACCTTATATATCATATATAAGGTTCAATTTGTCTGCGATCTGCTTGAAAGCCGGCAGGATCTGAACTGCACAGTCATGTCCTCACAGTGAGACATCATTAGTCATTTGCATTAAATTGGCCCAATGGAAAATGAAAGTTTTACCTTGCCTTACCTTGACTTAAATATACCAATACAATATTGACCTAACAGCAGAGGCCGTGTTGTTAAAAGATATTTTGAGTGTTGCAAAATTGACCACAAAAAAAATCACAACCTTCAGATACTGTAGTCTTTTATATGAAGCTAAGGACAGAGGTTTTACAAAGGGGGAAAATATTTCAGGAACGGTTAAGTTTTAAGACACTAGAACAATGACCTTTATATAATATAATTTATAAAATTTACTTTTACGGAAGTATAATAATTTTGGTCAGCTAAAAATAAAACAACTATTTAGCCACTGACATTTTGTCTTTTTAAAAAAGGGAAGGAACACAGAGAACACATCCTTGGTGTCAAAAACAGAGACGGTCATTGAACGGAGTGTCCAGAACTGAGTCATGGTCTCTTTTTTTTCTTGTAACAACTCAATCACCAAACCATATCCAGGAACCTGTGAAAAACATCACCAAAAAGTCAGTGTTTATAACTGAACAAAGTGTTGACTTAAAGCCCATCCAGCTAGGCTAACACCAGCTAAGGTACTGTAGCTAGTGAAGCTGAATCTTTTCACAGACAACCTAAAATGCGGTCCCATTTAAATAAGAAGTTACCTTGATGGATGACTTTAAAATGTAGCAGCATTTTCTGAAGTCATTGCTATTTTTCCATATAAAAATAAAATCCCACCAAAGTCCTTGTGTCTAAATTGTGTCTTTCCATTAGTAAAAAACAACATTACATAATATCATGAGTCATTTTCTCTAACTTTTCTCCTCCTCTCTCTCTCTCTCTCTCTCCCTCCCGCTCCCTCTCCCTCCCTCTCTCCCTACTGTCTTTTCCTCTACTGCTCTCTGTCCTTTGGGTTTTCTCTCTCACACATATTTCTCCACTCTCTGACTCCCTCTGCAGACTGCTGCTGGAACTGTTGGAGCTCCTGTTTGACAAGTTCAAGGCAGTGGCTCAGGCGCACAGTGTAGTGCTGTCCCACCTGCAGCAGATCGCAGTGCAGTGTCGGGGCGGAGCCCAGGAAGAAGACATCAAGCTCTACGAGCAGGCAGACGTCTCTGCCAAAATCCAGGCAGTGCTGCAGGTCAGTTTTTTTTTTTACAAAACAGACCCTGATGGTTTATTGTATTGGTTCTGTCTGTGGTCAGTGCAACTTTAACTCCTGGGTTTTCATTTCAACTGTATAAACCCCTATTATTAACAAATAAGGAGTGATTAAAGTGGGCTTTGTCAAACACCTACCACTGTATGAGAGAGAGTTAACAATACACTATATCAGTGGTTCTCAAACTGTGGTACGCGCTCTCTACTGGTACGCGTGGAAAATTCATATATTCATATATACATTTTCAATTGAATAAACCTGAAATATACCATGCACAACATTTACAACATAAACATCTTTATAAACATCTCTAAACATCTCTCCTGTGGTGGAAGCTAACAGCGAAGACCTCTGCTGCTGTATTCTAATGTTGGTCATCATGGTGGTACTCAGAAAACAGGTTCTGAGGTGGTACAGAGGAGAAAAAGTTTGAGAACCACTGCACTATATCAATACCCAGGAATTTACCTGATCAGAAGACACAGTTCATGAAAAACAGTTTGTTTTGTCAACCCTGACGGTCATATCCTCAGGACTTTTCCATTTTAATTCAGTACTACAGAGATTTGTTCATCCTTGAATTCTAAAGTTCCTGGTTGAAAAAAACAAACAAACAAAAAAAAAAACCATAATTGATCCAAGTTGCAGGCTCTCACAGTAATTTAGTCCAGATAGAAATTGACGGCTGGTGTTCAGTCTGTCAGCAGAGAGCAGCAGGAGGAGAAGACAGGCGAGGCCTGCTTGCTGGGATTAATTTTGCTTCCTTTAATTGGTGTGTATTTATGCCCGGTTCCTGCTCCCTGCTCCCGTATGATTGGCGAAGGAATTGAGCAGCTGTTGAACTGACCGATGGCGACTCTCCGAGGAAAATCAGTGGCAGTCACTGCTGTCAGAGCCGTGTGTGCGTTTGTGTGTATGTGTGTCTGCAGTGTTATACCAGAGAAGACAACATTCTCCCCAGTGCTTCTTCTCGGGCAGATGTGTAATTTTAAAATATATGCAATTTTCTGAAGCCATGCCTCGTGTGTATAAGAACTCTTTAAGCTGACTGAGAGGCTGATGTTGTTAAAGATGATGACAGGCCTCTGCCTTAATTCATGCCTGTCTGCTCTTCCATATCCTCGACTAGATTAATGAACAACTCAGTATTCTAGGGCATGTAGTTAACCTCATCATGGCCAAAGTGATTAAAAACTAGACGAGGAAACGCGCTTACACATGCAAATAGATATATCGCACACATATATGTACTATATAAGTATACATGCATGTATTAAAATTTATATATGTGTATATATGTATGTGTGTATATATGTATATATATGTGTGTGTATTTTTTGATAATCTCCCCTTCCCACTACAGTGCGGTTTCTGTGTGATTTTTAAAAAAAAGTTAAGTAATATAAGTATCTTGATCTCAGGGATTTAGATAGAAAAACCTGGTTTATATTTTTATGCTCACTCTACTTGAATTTGAATCTTATCAACGGTGTAACTGCGCATTGGCTTGTACTATAATAATGCGGTTGGTCCAGCGTAGTTACAGCAGGCTTTAAGCCATTCCCCAGCATGCATCTGCTGCCAATACCCAGTTGCCAGTGACTCTCTCCCTCTCTCTCTCTCCTCCGCTCTTTCTTTCTCACCCTCACTCTCCTCTGCCTCTGTGATATGTGAGATAATGTAATCTCTTGATTAGAATACTCATTACATGAGATGAGGTTTTCTTATTCACTCACTCGTGTTATTATTTCCTAACTGATTGTATCAATATGAAGGCCCCCTCCACGGTGCCCCCCCCCCTCCGGCCCTCCTCTCCTTGTTGCCGTTTCTCACACATCTTGATTGTTGTTGTGTTGTTTTCCCTCTCTGTCTCCATTTCCTCTGCCGCCTCCTCCAGCATCATTCCTCTTTCCTCTCACTTTCCTAACACCGTGTGCATATCCCACTGACTCCTTGTAATTTCCTTCTTGATCTCATTATCTTATTTTCTCCCCCTCGCAACTCCCATGTTTGCTCTCTGCTGCTTCTGTTAGCCCACTCTGTCATAGAGTTTTGCACATCAGCAATGGTAGAAATAGAAAAAAACCAAACAACATAGTTCTTTAGTGAATCCATTTGAATATATAGTGTAAACAAAAGTCCAGTCTCTTTGCTTCAGTTTTGCATAGATTTTTTTTTTCAATTTTCTCGTTCTTGTTGCTTGTTCATTTTAACTATTTCCTTTTATTGCCTGGGACGAGGGGGCGCCAGCGAGCTTGCAAGCCGCACAGAGTGGCATTTAGCAAAACTGAAATGCTATGTAGTTTCTACTGAACAGGTTGTGTTTGTGATCAATTCCCAGACTAAAATACAAAACACAAATACAAATGTATTTCTTTAATATTTCCCATAGAACCAAACACAGTAACCTGTCTGATTTGTTTTTGTCTCTGGACTCAGAGACATGACATTGAACACAACATCCACCCTGCCCCTGCTGCCCCCTTTTCCTCTGACACAGCTGTTGATTCACCTCTGCTTCCTACAGCACTCCCTTCTCCGTTTTGTATCGATACTTTTTACACTGAACACTGAGGCGGAATAAAGGCCCAACGGTGCTGCCTCGAAAAGGCGGTATAAAAGAAGCTTTAGTTGCTGCACTTAAGGTCTTTGACGTGTTCGGAACCCTTTTTGTAGGTGTTATTTTTTTTCTCCATCCACACTTTTCAGAGGTGGAGAAACCAGCCTGACCTTTTCACATGACGTGACGGCAGACAAATGCAGGAGCCGACAGAAACACAGGGTGCACCCGGTGACAAGGCCTGGGCTGAGGAACGTGTTTATCAAAGTGTGACATTGGCTCGATCGGCTGAGAGCTGAAACTGTAAACAAGCGTTTCAATCTCAGGAGTCTTGTATTGTTCAGGGGCAGGTTTTTTTTAAAAACTAAGACACAAGTAATGAAAGTTGAGTCAGTGACACTATTTGCTGATGACGTCATGGATATTTCTTCATTCATTAAATAAATCTCAGGGGGGAGAAATACTTAGGCTTCTCACTGTGAAGTGTTCCTGTTGTTGGCATCAAAACCTTGTGATCAGTGACAGGACGACGTCAAGCTTTGAACGTTGTAATGATCAGTCAGGTTGACTCATCTTTGGGTCCATCGTGTGGAAGTTGGCAGAGTCCAACCACTTTACCGTTTTCCATTAACTTCCTGCGGAATCTGTGTGATGCATTTTTGAGCATCTCTATGAAGGTAGGTTTTTATCCAGAATTTCCCTGTTCTCCACAGTAACTGTAACTGCAACTGTAAGAAAATCCACACTTTTTTCACGTCATTAAGGTGATAGAATGGTGTTAGAAAGTAATGGGGTTACACTTATCAACAGTTCGTAAAGCTGTCCATGGAATCTTCATTAGGTTATACACCTAGAGTATATGTATGTATATGTATCTAGGGCTGTTGTTTCATATATATTTGGCATCAGGTGTCGTCGGCTACTGACGTCCAACGACCTTTGACCTTGTCTGCTGCTCAGTTCGAGGTGTGTGAGTTTGTTAATTAGCTCGCCATTTGCGCATTCTGCGAGGATTCGTGGCTGGGTGACTGTTTGTCATGCCCGTTGTCTGCTCTCAGTATGTGACCGGGTTGCAAATCACACTTTTAATGAGTGGCTTCCTCTTTCCAGACAACAAACTATGAGCCTGCATTCAAAAACCATTGATGGATGCCCCGCCCCCCCACCTCCACCCACCTTCTCTCTGAACTTATTAAAGATCAAATATTTCAACAACAGAAAGTTTTAAAGTTTAATTTTTTTTCTTTGGAAAACTTCAACTACCTAACAGTCCGAGGTTGCTCTTTTCGAAGGGGAATTTGAAATCAAATCTGGACTGCAGGCAGGCCAGTCAAACACAAAATTACACTAAATTACGATGACAAAATGTTTTGATGCATTAGTCAAGTAATAAAAATGTGGAAAATAATCCAGAAGCCAATCATTGAAAATGTGTTTCGTGTTTGAATCCAGGATCGGGAATACTCCCACACATAATTGTCAATAACTAGAAAATTCCCAGCTCGACGGGTTTGATTTTGTTTTGCTTTTTAATTAATTTTAATTCAATTTAAAACTTTTAATTGTTATGATGAGCTTCTGAGCTCCAATTTAAAAATGAACAAACCCTGCTACGTTTGATCACACTACTGCAGTCGATGTACACAAAACAGGGAGGCTGTTGTTGTTGTCTTAAACACTTAACAACGCTCCATCAGTGCATCAGCCAAGTGAAAAATGAGGTGAACTGAACTGCCTGGGAGCTACAACAACCATTACTACATTTTAATCAGTGCGTCAGATTATTTCGACCCTCAGAAGCGCCGTCATATTTACATATTGCGGAGTGTCCGCCATTTCCACGGTATTGAAGACNCCACCACAAAATTAATCAATTCTATTGAGTGTTTTTTTGCTTTGCTTTCAAAATTATACTACTGTACTTTCTATATTCAGTATTCTTCTACTTTTTCTACTTCTTCTTTGACGTCTTCAACTTATACTTTGACGTCTTCAACTTCTACTACGTCCTCGACTTCTCTTAAGTCCTTGACTTCTACATTTTTATATCTTTTTTCTCTTCTTCTTTGTCATCCTCTACCTCTTCTTCCACTTATTCAGCGTCTTCTTAGATCTTCTAAAGCTGATCACACAAAACCGTAAACGTGGCATGTTTTTAGTACACTCTCTTTAGGTTTGTTTCCTTTATTTTGTCGTGTGCTGCCACGTTAAATTAATGCTGTGGTTACTGCCCTTGCATGTACTTTGACATTTTGACAGTGAATCGTGTGTTTGTGCAGAACTGTTTCCATAGAAACACACTTCTTTCATCCATCGCTCTGTTTGAGACACAAAGAAACCATACGAATGTTGGGGACACAGCAAGGACACAGAGAAAAAATAAAATGAATTTCTGTAAGAAATCGCAGACACATTTTCTTTTTTTCTTTGTCAACAAGATAGCCTTCAGAAGATTGACTTGATGTGGCCCATCCCAGGTGGAAGCCCCCACTGGTTAGCAATAGTTCAGCGTCGCGGGAACAGTTGTGTCTGAAACTCGGTCCAAACTTGTGAAGGTTATTGAAAATTTCTCCCAACGTGATCAATGCAGATCGTCGGAACAAACCTTTCTTGACAGCCAAGGACACACTGGGTTTTGACTTCAAACCAGCAGGAAAGAGATATCCGTCAATACACGCTGTGACAAGACACAAGCCGGGGGATTTAGAAGGAAAACAGTCCGTCGCAATAAGCCCAGTAAAAGCAGAAATGTGTGGAGATTATTCGCTGGACAGCTTTTAAGGTGAAGTAAACACTAAGGAGGAAAGAGAAAATCAAGTGATGTGAAGTTATTTAAATGTCTTCAATTTCCCCAACTGATGACTCTTAATTTACCCGGTGACAAGTGCTCACCTGCACAACTCTGAGCGATGCTCTGCTAATTGCTCTGATTCCCTAATAATGGACGGGAATGGAAGACGAGTGTACACTTTGTGCGAGTACAAAGGCTAACCCCATAGTGCTTTGTTAGGAGGAAATAAACGATAATGAATTACACGGGCACAACTTCCTCAGAGCTTTTTAATGGAACTTTGCACTCGGCTCCGGTGCACTCACTGATTTAACTTTGGGACAAGACCAAAGTCGTTGGAGTGTGGAACGAGGCTGGTCGGTTGTTAGAATTACATTTAGCAGTTATGGCGGAAATGATTGTCTCTGTCAGGGCAGGCCTTGAGGGAGATGTGTTTTATATTTGTGTTCGCTTACACACATAAACAAACAGACAGACAGGTGCACACACACACATTCAAGTTAATGTAAACTCTGTTGCCAGGTCTTTCTCTAACTGGTTTCTCAGATTTTTTTTCATTAATCCTGATTATTGTTTGCTCCTTCATCAACTCATTCTGTATCATCATCTGATTAATCACAGGGTTGCTGATAATTAGTCATGATTAATCACAATTTATAAACATATATAAATATTTCTAATTATAACAAAATATTTTTTAATGCAATTTGTGTATGAACTGTGTCTCCAGTCGTGAAGAGCAACTAATTTGCATTTGCCAGAATAGTGATATTTTTTGTTAAGAAATGTAATCAAGGTGAATTATACTCTATTACATCTTATCAAATCGTATCAAATCGTAAAATAATTAAAGACATAAAGAACATCTCCCAGTATTTTCATCCTGCTCGTCCATGTGACACCACGATACAAAAAAAAAAATCATGCATTCTGTGCCTAAACAGAATAAATTGTTAATGGATTTTGCTGCTATATTTGGAATAACCAGTGCTTGGCAACTGGGCTGTGCGTTGTGTGTCAGACTAAGGCTCAAATGTCATTGTCGTTGGAGACTGTGGTTGGGTTCTAGCTTTAGGCCTTTAATGGCCTTACTGAGATTAGGAGATGATGTTAAATCTCTACAGAGCTCATAATAAAACTTTTTGATATCTTTTTCAAAACTTAATCTTGTTATGTGTAGTGTTTGATACGAAGCATGCTCATTCATAATATTTGCCCTTTATAGAAAGCGACAGAGAAAAATAATATTTTTCAACATCTGTGGAAGTTATAGTTTTTTTTTTTTTTGGTAATTAGTTTGCCCAGCGCACAATGAGATTGCGATGCACTTCGTCAACGTCGCCCAGTCTTATTGTAATGAGCAAATGAAAGGGAAAGCTCTGTTTGCTTTGGCTTTTGCAGCAACTGTGTGAACACATTCGGTGCCAGGATGTTGTTTAATTAGTTCGATGAAGGACATCGTTTGGAAAATTTGAGATGAAGGAGTAGAACTTCTCTTTTGTCTCTGTGGTTATGCAACAACACAGTGGAATCCTCCACGACAACTTCTGACACAACCATCTGGTCAAGATAAACAAAACAAATAAAGGAAACATGATATCAATAGTTATTTATTAAATTATTTTTATATTTTTTAAAAATCCCCTTTTTCTTGACTCTTCTGTGTCGACTTTTTAAGCATTCCTGTGTCGTGTTGAGTCTCTACCTGTAATCCTGTGCTCTTTCTTCTCCCCACGTCTCTTATCTCCCTCCTGTTCTTATTTCCTCTCTCCGTGCTACATTGCGCCTCCTGTCCTTCAATCTTTCTTACTGTCCAGTTAATTGCCTCCAAAGTTCACTCTTTCTCAAGGCTAATGCAATTTCAGTGGGGTCGAAGACCCTTCATCAACCTGATGCTGGCATTTCATTAAGTCTACTTGGACGTTAACGTGCAAGCAAGTGGGGGGTTTGGCTCCATCAGCTCATCATTAGTAATTAATACACTGATAGGATTAGCTGCCTCGCAGGGCTGGTGGCAAGTGGAAGCCCTGGTGTTGCTGTCTGTGGAAGGCGTGTTATGCGCCCCCCCCCCCCACTTCTCCCGTCAGCTAGATGAAAAGCGTGAAAACAGCTAATTATACATGTGTTGTACATTTTATCATCTGGCTTAACTTTTTTAATTCACTGATTTTTTTTTTTTTTTTACATCGACGTTAGAACCACTTCAATCCAGGTCAGGAAATAAAAACACAGTTTGTCAATTTGATCAAAACAAAATCCTAGAAAGGTGAGAATTAGCCAAATACAGGGCAGTGACGTCCCTCTAGTTTTTTTTTTGCGTCTTGGTAAGGATCACTCCATCTTCTTCATCTTGTCATTCTTTGTATCTGAATATAATCTTATAAACATTATATTATCTTTTGAATATTTTCACTATATATTTTTAATATATTGACGCGTCTGTTTGCTAATATGTATACACGTGGATTGAATTTATTTTTTTGCTTACATGTCACAACTTTCCCATGCACGACGGGGAAAGACAGGGGGCGCCTCTCTTCGGCGTTAATTACATCATTATGGTGGGGATGGATCTCCATCTGCTCTACCATTACTTCTGCCCCGTTTTGGGCTGTCCCACACTGTGCGCTCCAGAATTAGACACACATGGGCTAAATGACTCTGCTAAATTATGAAGCCATTAGGTATGGGAGGCTATTTTAGAACACGTGTATTCACACAAAGAGGAGACCGAGACGGGGAGCGAGGGGAAAGGATGAGCCGAGGTTGACGGTGCAAGAGGGAATGAAAATAGAAATGTGAGAAATGAGAGCGGAGACACTGAGAGATTTTGAAAAATGGGAGCCAGTCAAGGCGGCAGAGGGAACGTGCAGATACGATGATAGAAAAGAGGAAGTTAACTTTCTCTATCTGGCCAATAGTTCCAATGTGCTTGTCTGCAGCTATTGTTGGAAGTTGATAAGATTTTTATGAAGCCTGATAAGACTTTGATGGATTTCACCATGGATCACGCAGACAGATCAAGAAAAGGGAGCACACAAAATTTTCAGCGGTGGTCATCAAAAGCAAAAGCCCGTCATGTCAGCAGGGTTTTTCAATCTACACAGCTCTGATTTTCTTTTCTTTGTTTGTTTGCTTTCCAAAATTGGCTTTGTAGATGAAATATGGCCATAAATATTAATACAGTGATACTCGCAGGCACATTGGATAGAATAAACACTAGGCATGTGTGCAGCTGGATCACTGTGTGTGAGGCAGTTGAAGCAGCAGTTTCTCCATTATAATTATTTTAAATTAATTAACAAATCAGTGAGTAATTTGGAGACAAAATCGTCTCTATTAACGATCAGGAATCAGGAAAAAAAAGACTTTTAACATTCACATGTTTAATGGTCTAAATGTTCAAACTGCAGACAAATAAGTTTTTGTTTATTTTTTATACTATGCTTTTTGGTTTCCAATTTATGCACAATACTAAAAAAGTCTAAAATATACGTATTTCTGCCTTTTAACATTTAAATCATCGCTCTGTGTCGTTTAGGTCTTGCTGATGGAGTATCTTGATGTGAAGAACAGTCGACGCTCCACGGAGCCTTCAGCCCAACTCTCCTACGCCAGCACCGGGAGTGAATTTGCTGCTTTAAAAGCATGAGCAACAAAACCTACACCACATCTTACCACCCACAGTTCAACCATTCATGATTTACTTCCTACAGTATCTCGGGTTGAAAGCCACTGGCTGATAAGCTGTACAAACATACTGCCCAAGCTGCTCCTCTCCCACCGCGACAGACGGCTCTGCAGCACCTGTCTATTTTTAAGACATCGATTTGACAAAAATTTGAGGACAAATTTCAGTCTGAATGTAGAATCTCTCTCTCTGGAGTGCTCTTACCGGAGCAGCTGTGACACCAACATGTCTCCTCATGAGGATCAATTATCAAAATTATTATTAATTCTGGTCCTGATAACCCTGTGGCCTATGTAAGTTTAAAGTCAGAAAAAGAAGAACTTTATCTCAGAAAAGTTTGGTGTTCATTTTTCATTCCCAAGGTCGTCGTTCCTTGTTGTCAACTGCACTTTGCCGTGTTGTCACTTGTTAAATCTTATGTTGCTTATATAGGTTTGAGTCATCTTCCCATGCCATCAGTATGAGTGCCTACTTGAGGGAGCAGAGACGAGAACTCTACAGCAAGAGTGGAGAATTACAAGGTGAGGAGAGGGGGATGAAACATGGAGAAGAAGGGAAAGAATGATGACAGGCTGTGATGGGGATAATGGTGTATATGTAGTTATATATGCATATGTATAAAAACATATATATATAAGAATATTTAGAAATATATCTATATATTTAAGCATGTATATGTATATATGTATTTACGTGTTTATATATATATATACATATATTACAACATGATGTGTGTGTATATGTATGTTTACATTTCAATTTGAACTATTAGTTTATTAGTTAGGAGTCTACACTGTTTTCTTGTTATTGTTTTAGGTTGTACTCTACTGATGTTTTTAAACCCGCAGTAGAGTTGATTGAACATAACTATGGTTACTTGCTTTCTCTGGTAACAAGTTACACTGAGGATGCAGTAGTTACACTATCTGGTAACTAATCACTATGCTGTGATTGCTAGTAATTCATTACCATTGTTGTGTAATGTGCCCATCTTTGATGACTGGTCACTAGACAGAATAGGTATCAACAGAAAAGAGAGCCACGGTAAAGTCGTGTATCAGAATGTCAGGGTTGAACTAATCTGAAAGATATAAAAAGGTGTAGAGTTTCAATACCAGAAAGACAGCTGTGTTTGGTAATGAGTTGATAAGATTGAGGTGGATATAAGTGGAAGGCTCATCCACACAGTACTCGAGTATCAGAGAAGACTCGGATTACTGGACCGAGACACTGGAAGGACGAGTCAAAGACTGAAAAGTCAAAGATATCACAGGATTGTGAAGAGAGTAACAGGCGAGAGCAGGGTGACTTTGCTGAATCCTTCATGAGGTCAGAGGCCTTGAACACCTCTCATTCACATCTACACACACACACACACAATATGACACAGTGATGGAGCTACACAGCCAGACCCTAGAGAGTCTGACTGTTCTGCTGCTGCTACTTCCTCTGTGTCTCTCACTGACACTGTGTGTCTCTCGTCTGTGACCTTGAGGTTTCAATCAGCAGTGCCTGACGGAGCTGCTCGTCTGGGGCTGTTGCTTTTCTCACACAGCAGGCTTTTGTTGACATTGTCTCGATGAAATAAAAGTGGAAGAGTTTTCTTATTCTATATGAAAATCACCCACCGACAATTTCTTTGTAATTACTGCTGCAAACTTTTTGTGCACATCATGTTCCAGAAACTTTTTCTTGAAATTAAAAAAAAAGCCCCCATGATATGTCTTTTAGTAATTCAAGTGAACCTTTTATAAGTGAGGGAGTGGATGGAGACAACATTTTGGTTTTGTGTTTCTGCATTTTTGCAAATTTCTACCTATCACACACCCCCTAGGTTTTATTCCCCCTAGGTTAGCTAGTACCTGGTTTGGTAATTTAAGTCAAGAATGAAAGAAGCATTTACCATTCCTTTAGTCTCGAGGCTAATTTGTGGATAGGAATGATCTGTTAATTTGGCGCCATCTTCAGTTCAGCATGGTAAAGAAACTATCAGGGTGTCGGAAACCTTGCCTTCCAGGTTTTCGAATGGGTTAGGAATTCCAAGCATGTTTGAAACATAAGACTTTGGTGGGAAATCAAAGCCAAATAATCGAACAGCCCACAGAATGTCAACTTATATGCTTACTGTACAACTTAATAAAACCTAATATGTTGTTGTTTTGTCTTCCGTAAATGCATTCAAAGTCCACTCCCACTGCCACTGCCACCTGGGCTTGATTAACCTTAGATAAAGGAAAACCCCTGAGCAGTCTTCAAATAACAGCTCAGTTTTTTTTCTTCCTCTTCTTCTTCTTCCATCTGTCAGTGGCTCAGAACGAAGAGAGGAAAAAATATGTTTTCTTTGACTGGGTGAATGCCTGGGAGCGTTCATAAGGAGATGAGATTCTTCCCGGCTTTCATTTCACCTGTCACAATGTGCAGCGAAAAACCAGGCCGAGGCTTGAATGGTTGGCGAAGAGATTGGAGTCGTAAGAAATCATTTGAAAAGTGAAATAAGTTGACTGTGATGGAGGGAGGTGAATGATGGAGGCAAGGAGGAGGAGGGAGGCAGAGGAAGGTTAAAAGTCGTTGTTTCTACCCGGAGAGTCGAGGGAAGTCATCAAGAGATGTCTGGGGGAAGAAATTAGAAGAATCTAAATTGAGGCAATGTGTAAAGGGACTTTTTTTTTGCTCCTTTTTTAAAAATTAGAAATACAGTTTAAAGGGCTGAGAGGACAGGAGTCAGAAACTAGAAACTAGAGTTGATGACTCCCCCACCAACGTTAGACTCAGTCATGTGTGTCCCTCAGTGTCAGGACTCAGAGTTTTCCCTCACAGATCAAGTCAATGTTGTTATTAACTCAAGTGCTCACCAGCTGCTGTGAAAATAAGAGTTTAATTATACACTTTAAATCCAGCCACGCACCGTTAACAAATGAATTAGAAAAGTCTGGCATTGAATAAAAAGTACAAAACAGTAACTGCTTTGAGGAAAAAAACGTGAATAAAATAGATATCTTTCAAAAGAAGAAAAGCAAATTCAAAAATAAAATAACTATAATTATTATATATAACAATTCAAAAACACGTCTCAACCTTTAATTATTTCGCAATTAAATCTGTGCATCTAAGGCTAAAGCTAAGTTTACTATTGCACAGCGTGAATGTTGCGTTTATGTCTGTCATGACGATTGTCAATCGCAATCGGTTGGCCTCGTATATGTCAGCAGAAGTGCAAAAAGAAAAATAAAAACAGCTTGCGACCTTTCACTTAGAAGACTAACTCTCTGACCACTAGATCAAGGACCACTGCTACAAAATTTACTCTTACGTTAATTTTCCACACAACTGGAACACTATTAATTATTGAATTAAACATTTTATTGTGTGCCAGGGATCATGGTATAGACATACATGTGAATATGTATATATGTATGTATATATGTATGTTTATGTATATATATATATATATATATATATATATTTAATGAAATATCTTTTCAAAATAACATGGGCTTGTATTGGCCCACGGGTCGTATGTTTGATACCCCTGCTTTAGATGATCCTGTTTTGAAGAGAGAGCAAAAGTGAAATTAGACCCTCAGTACGATTGGTGTTTGATAACAGCTATCCAATAGGAGCGTGACTACGTTGTTTGTCTCATCCTCCACACAGCGTCGCACCACATGCTCTTCTGACTTTTCACATTTGTTAGCTGTCACTTCTTGCACCTCACACCTCCCGTCTTTATACCCATCTCTGTTACAAATCTGTTTATTTAAACCTCTCTTTTCATATTCAAAGCCTCTTCAATGGCAGCATCAACGGCCAACAATGACAACAGTCCGACTGACTATGTCATGTACGCAATTCAAACACAAATAGTCTGCCACAACTTACAATGCTTTCCGGCTTGAGTTAGGTGCACGGGGGGTTGGAGGGGAGGAAGCTTATGTTGTTCTGGGGTTTCCTTGTTTATGTATAATAGCACTTTATTCCCATGAGAGGAGGAGGAGGAACAGGGAAAAGGAGGAGAAGTGCCTGCTCAGGGCAAACAGAAGTGGTGTTTCCTGTCAAGCTGATTTGTGCGGCCTGACACTGATGGGAGGGAGCAGAGGTGCAAATGGAAAAAATGTCTTGTGGGAGACATTGAGGTGGGGGTAATGATGGGTGGGATTTCAGGGCTGGGGTTAGCAGATGTTAATAGCCATGTGTAAGAAGTCTGTGTGTGTGTGTGTGTGTGTGTGTGTGCAAGCATGAATGTGTGTGTGTGTGTTGTATGTCTGTAATTGTTTGAGTACATGTGGGCCCAGTACTGTGTTTGTAATAGGTACGGGTATAATTCTGGGCCACACAGAGATTTTTTTTTTTTTAGCCACTTTTTGTAGTGAGTTTTACTTGAAATTTAAAACATTGATTAGTACAACATCAATTAGTAACTCTAATTTGAAAATCCTAACTCTTTCAACCAACTTAAAATAAGGAATCCTTTCAATATAGCTGCAACACACTCCATCAAAGAGAATTCAACATAAGAACTGTAGGTTTGGAGCTGTCTCTGGTTTAGGCCAGAACACAAGTGAAAGCAATGTTTTAAAAAAACAAAGTTGACACAGTCTTCATTTTTAGGATTATTAATTATTAAGGATTATTATTATTATTATTAACTGTAACCAGAAAAATTATATTCTTATTACAAAATCCTACTTTTTTATTTGTAATTTAAACTTTTAAAAACGTAAACATTCGTACTCTTTACACTTCAGAAAGCCCTTAAATCTTTTTTCTGCTCTTAAATCACTAACTCCCATTCACAGTCATTACATTTTTCCAATTATTGAAGCTCTTAATTTGTTGTTTACTCTTCTGGTGGAGCGGTCAATTCTTGACTTCCACTGACCCTGCAATTATGATTAATCCCATTCATAAACAAAACCTGAGAAGGAATTGAGGTTCGGCTGTGAAAAAAAAAGAAAAGAAAAACAGAGTCAATAATGATTATTGAGTCCTGACGCCTGCATTGTCAGAGATGACCACTTATCTCAGATCGATGCCACTGTCTTTATTTTTATTCCTCATTTCAAATCTTGTAGATTGATATTCTATTTGTGATTAATGTTTGCTGTCTAGCAGTGGTGTTGGTGTCATGTTGAGGTTTTTGCAAATGTGAAAAACAGCTTTTACTAGAATGAACAGCCAACCTGAAAGTCAAAGTCTCTTGGATCCTAGATATCTCTAACACTTGGGAGTTAGGATCCGATTAGATCAGTGGTTCTCAAACTGTGGTGCATGTACCACTGGTGGTACGCGAGCGCTCTCTACTGGTATAAAAATAACAACAAATCCACAATGTACAAAAAATAAAAAATGGCGCTCTCTACTGGTATAAAAATAACAAACAACAAATCCATAATGTACAAAAAATAAAAAAAATTCATGCATTTACATTTAGAAGACAGAAATAATGTTTGAAATTGACAATTTATAGAAAATCTATTGCGCATACTGTATGTTTACACTTCTGTTTTGTGTAAACAACGCA